GGTCATAACTCAAGAAAGACAACGTATGGGGATGAACTCTTTTAGAGTTCTTCTAGTCTCATCGAGTTCTACTTATGGACAAAATGTGAACCCGATCGGTGATTAACACTTGGGATAGTTCCCTCGTTAGAACAATGTGGTCTACAAACCCTAAAAGTTTCATGCGATTCGGAAAAAGTCGATGTAAACATGGTAGAGATACCGTGGATTTACCCTATAGCAACCATGGTACACAGATAGCACAGATGTCGCGCAGTTATAACTATTATAGATTTGAAGAGAATAAATAAAACAAAACTAAGAATAAAGAACATACAGTTTCATTGAATTTCGAATCGGTAAAAAAATCATGATGATATAATATGGCAATTTCTTTTTTAAAATGAAGCCAATACACTTGCACCTATTCGAAAACACCCTGACTTTCAATGATAAGTCTGACCCTATTATAATTCAAGCATGTGAGTAAAACGAGCAATAGTAGTAATTCTTTTCATGGTGCTGACCATCATGCGCAAAAAGAATCTGTACAAAAAATAGATCGAACATATGCATTGACTAAAACAAACCAACGTCAAATTCTGTTTTCAATAGATCGGCAATCCCAGTTTGATTTATGCAAATATCGGACAAAACAAATCACAGTTAAATACTGTTACCAACATCAATCTATAGCAAAGCAACTCCAGAGATAATTCAATGAAATAGTTGACATATAACAAAAGTTTTGTAGTTCCATTATTCCTACATATAGCACATTTATGTATTTCAATGAAAAAAAAATACTTCATCGGTGACCGGACAATTCGTTGCATGAAAAATTCGTTGAATGAACAATTCGTTTCAAGACAATAGTCATATAGATGATTGACTAGTCGATAATTCTTTCAATCATTGTGGCAGAATAAAAATTGAGATAAAAGACAAATTACTCATTTTTGTTGTGATCCTTTTGATCTTGATCAAAATAAAAAGATAAATAATAGAACACTCCTATAATATCTAATAATATATTCAGTGTCTAATCAATTCACAATCTATATATAGACGATGATTTAATTGAATACACCTCATTTCTTTAATAAATTTCTCACAAAGTGTGATAAACGTTTGTACAATGCCTAAAATAGAAAAGTTTTCAAGCGAAAGAGGAAAACCATTGGTGGTTTATGATTCTCACATATACAATTTCGAACGAAGAACTGATGTAAAACTTATATTTAGATGTCAAGACCATGATGGCACAAAGGTAAAATATAAGGTTTAAAACAAAAGGATGCGTTTGCTTTGTTCGTTGTAATGTTTTTTTTTGTTAGATGTAATATTTTTCTGTATCATTTAATAAGGAAAAGAAATTAGAATAAAACACTTACTCATACGTATACAAATATGTTAATATATAACACTTCATTTTAATGAACGTACGACGAATTGTCCGCAACGAATTGTCCTAGCACCCCTTCATCACCATCCATATTCTCTCAATTATTAGAAAATTTCCTTTCCAAGAAGAGACAAATATTTATTGGTAACACAAGCACCACATCAAATCAAATATCAGGGATATATACACATCTTTATCTATATAAATATAAATCTATATATTCACGCATACAAATATCTGTGTATAAATATCCACACAAATGCAAATATATATACACAAACATACGTATGTACATATAAACATAATTCAGGCATATCAAAACTCGTCATCAGAACGTCAAAATCTGGATATCAAACAGTAACCACAATAAGCTTCCTTTTTCTATCATTTGATTTTTACAAAGACTTTCACATTTATCCACAAAAACCGAATTCCGGATCATATCAAAATCAAATTTAGTGATCTTTCTTTATGCTCAAAATAGTTGTCCATAGCATTCGATAAATATATTATATTCATAGTGAGCAATTTATGCTCATTTTGCTATGACTTTTATATTCCACAAGGCTTGTTCATTTTCTTAGGGAACTTGCTCTCGGATCATATCGAGAGCAGATTCAGCGATCTTTTCTATGCGCAATATAATTGTCCATTAGATTCGATAAGTATATTATATCCATAATGAGCAATTTATGCTCAGTTTGCCCGATTTTATATTCGAAAAGGCACGATCATTTTCTTAGGTAGGTGACATGGGATCATATCAACATCATATTTATTGATCGTTTTTATGCTCAACATAGTTGTCCATTCCATTCGATAAATATAATATTGTGATAGTCAGCAATTTATGTTCATTTTAATGGATTTCATATTCCACTACACTTGTTCATTTTCTCAGGTAATTGATTTGGCTTCATTCGATAGTTTTGTTTATATAGCTTCGGAACTGGATGTATCCGACTGCTTCCGATGTATCTATAGAGTGAGATTTGCACGAATGTGGAGTTTTCTGGTGGTCGGAATAGCATCGGAAGTCATCGGATTGTGCCGGAATCGGATAAGATTTGGATGAGTCTTGTCGGATACGTTGGGATCGCACAGGAACACATGGTCGGAATTCGATTGTGTTGCTTCTGTTGATTTCTGTAGAGGATTGTACCGGAATTGTTGTCGGATCCGGTCGAGTTTGAAATGGTGGTAGAGTAGGGTTCAAATCCGGTAAAATCCGATTGTCGAATTTATCATGATTTGATCGGATCTCTTCCGACGAAATCCGATGCTGGAGTTTTTTTGCAGAGAATATGATGAAATCCGACAGCTTCCGGTTTACGGACCTTGATCATCCGACTGTTTCCGGAAGACGGTTCCTAACTGATTCGATAAGATTTGCTGCTGGTTACGACCGGATTCGACCGTATGATTTCCGATGCAATCCGATTCGGAATCCGACTGATGGGAATCCGACGCAAACCATGTCGGATCCGACAGATTTGTTAATGGAAGATGTAGGATTTCGGCGCAATCCGGAATGGTATCCGACATGTTCCGGTCGAATTCACAAGTCAGATTGAATCTCCTGGGCAGGCACACTCCCACACCCACTCCCTCACACTGAGCTTTATAGTATTTTTCTCGATAAATCAATATACTTTTATTCCTATGCAATATGTTACTGACTTAAGCAACACATACATATGCCAATTCTTTTAACGCTGACTTGTAATCAATGTATCGAGGTTGATTTTGCTCTCCTGTGTATTTCTCTTTCTTTAAGTTCCATTCATCAACATACCTTTGAAACGTAGTATCATTTATATTCCAAAGCTTATGGGACTTGAGAAAGTTGACTTTAGCGTTATGTCCGCTCATATAGTTTGCATGTACCAGAACGACATCTCGTTGTTTACCATCATTTGGCGGCTGAAGTTTATTAGCGAAGAAAGCCATTGCAGCTTTTCCATTTTGAAATTGGTATGGATGCAAAAGTCTAAATGTGAAGGGTTGAGAGCCATTATAAACACAAGGAACAGTCTCTCCCTCCATAATAAAGACTGCTTTGTTAGCTTTGCGCCAATCTCGAAGAGCATCTGCAAAATGTGTTTGATCATCTATATTCGTATTTTTCTTTGATCGTTCAATGGTTTCATCAAGAAGAGCCATCGAGCGATTATTGGATTTTAGAAAATAAAATCCGGTATTTGCCTCATGACCTAATGGAAATAAGTGTGTTTCCGTATTTGATTGTATTGCAAGATCGACATCAGTTGGAAGAAAAAGCACAGGATTTTGCATCCATGCAATATCTGCATCAGAAAAAAGGACATTATATCCTAGTTCAAGAATTATTCTAACAGCAATAATTTTAGCAATTGATATTCGATTAAAGTTAGGTGAACGGAAATTTGCGGCATATTCTGATGATGAAGGATGCATTAGACTTCCAGATACAGATGGAATCTTATGTGACTGTAAAAAACCATAGAACGATTTATCTTGAGCAACAACGATATATTTGAAAGTCTTCGATATTTTAGTCAGTTGACATAAGAAACTCCATGTCATATCTGCGTATGCCATGTTCGTAGATAAGATTAAAACTGTTGACTTCACAACTCTACGAGGCATTTTTAATAAAGTTGATGAACTTTTATTGGAATCAAGTCCTGCAGCCTCTGCAATGATAGAAGCTAAGTCAGAGAACTTCGTTGAATTTTTGTCAATATAATTAGTTCGATTAAATTCATGTCGATTGGCTGCTTTCGAAAACAAGGAGAAGTTTGCGAGACATTCATTTGAATCCTCTAGCTGTTGCTTGACAAAAGTCCAGATAACAGTATTATTTTGTGTTTTATAAATGATTGAGGAAAACAGAATCACTACAAAGAGAGTAACGATAATGTACCATTTTTTCATTGTGAATAGCTCAGGACTTGAGTTCAACATTGATCAAAACCTTGAATATGAAGAATATAATATTAAAAGGAGCAATGAAGCTTTTTTCAACTAAACTTTTCGAAACATACATGACCATCTTCAAATAAAGTAATAAATTAAAACAAGAGCAAAAGAACATCTCATACATCGGAAAAGTATGAAAAATATTTGATTCCTTTTGAGGGAGGGAGTGTGAGTGGGCGTGGGCGTGGGCGTGGGTTAGGTATGGATTTGGGTGAGGACGTGGTTATGGGTGTTGCCGTGCGTTGAACTGAACAGTTCAACCTACTCCTACACTCACACCTTCTCTATAGGTCTTTATTAGTAACTAAAAAGTGGTTGTGTTTGCGTTTCATGTATAGCTGCGATATAGAGAAATTTCGTTGATTGAACTAATATTTGGCCATTTGATACAATGTGTCACATTATCAAAAGCATAAACTGTACAAAACGCCAGTGCAGTCCGATTAATCCATATTGTGCAAGAAGAAATTCAAATGCAAAATTATAAAGTTTCTGTTTACAGTAATTTTCTAAATCCGATTGACTGAATTGAACTTTTGATTTAACAGGAAATGTCCAATCACTTCCCTGTACACAAAAAATAACAATATTAAAAGTCGTCTCAATAGAGAATTTCGATAAAAGCGCAATACTCTTTACCGTTATTAACTACGCAAAGAAAAACAAGAGCAACAAAAACCCAACGCAATCAGTGAAACCGAATCCAATTTCTTTATCATCAGAGCATCGTGTGAAAGTTGTTAAAAACTATGAATGAATATGGTCTTTTATAGAATAAGTAACGCAAAAACTCTCACGATGGTAAATATTACGCCAAAGTCATCTATGCCGACAGCTCCAAAAATAACCATCCATTAGAGAAGCCATGCTTGAATCGGGCAATCATTATTATAAAGTAGTCCTATTGTTAGTGTAGCGACTGGGAAGAAAATTAACGTGAGAAAAAAGCTGAAGATTGCAATTTTTTTCAGAATTGTTTTTCTTCCATGTTTCTGATCTTCAATATCGATGACTGAAATTGTTGGCCTAGTTGGAACATAGCCTCCTGTTATAATTCGTGGAGCTGAAGTGAGAGCCGGAATCGATTTTGGTATGGATTCCATATCTATGTTTTTATCGAAAAATCAAAACTCTTTTTGTGTACTCAAAAAATGCATACACTACAGAATAGATCAGTGTGTTCGACCTTCGGTCTGACTGTTTACTAGATAACTCTTCAAAGGATACAAGGCTAAATCAGCTATTGCCAAGATATTTGAGCAGAAATTGGTTTTGTGTTTGACCACGCTCTTCTTGATGAAAAATTAAAACCTCATCTTCGGATTACAGAAATAATACTTCAAGGTTTTCTGAGATGGAAAACTTGCATGTGAGCTCCATTTGTCTCCAAATTCTTTTAGTTGAGCAGTAACCAATAGAAATCACTTGTAAGAGAAATGGCTTGGTAGGACAATTTTGATGTCTACGCATGCTATGATGACCTATCTGTCTAGTTCACTTTTTGAAGCACACATAACACTTGGATTTGAATCTGGTTTTTTCCCATTTATTTTCACATAATTCTTGACAGTCTATAATATATTATTACAATATGCTAGTTGAAGAAGTTTTCTACTGCAGTCGGATCCATTGCTTTTAAACATTTGTTCGAGGACCCATCAATCTGCTTCAAAAAAATTTCAGACTCAAAAGAAATCAGAAGTTTTGAAATGCACATAGGAATATTCTTAATTTTATTGAAAAATACTCATTTTTTGTCAAAAATTAACTTAATTTTTGTTCTCGTTAGAAAACAGAAAAATTGGGATATGTTGATTCGAAATAGCTTAAATTTCATGATTCTCAAAAGCCTGAGATCCAAGTTCCATCGAAACCGACCATACACGGCGTTACGCCAGGGAATCATGGTGAATAACGAAGACTAATTCCAGTAGCTATTTACAATAATTGTAGAAAATGCTTTACCACGTAGGTTACGACAGCAAGAGGTCACCGTGAACACCTAACGTAGCAATACAACGGCTTGATGCAGTGTTAGGAGAGCATCGTGATACATCATATACGTCAGATATTTACGTTGGTCGTGTACGAAATTCTCAAATAGTATTTTATGATGAATTGTAGCCATTGTGAACAATGACTGTAAGATATCGCTGTTTACCACTCAAGTCGAACTTGTAGATTTTAAAGAACTGTATTCAAAGAAATACGACAAAAGACATGGTCCAATATTATGATCGTATATCCTTGTGTTGTATATGGAGATATATGACGATAAATGGAGAAGAAAAACGATCACTTATGCTCCTCGTATACACAATTCGTACATGGTCTCCATTTCGCTCTGTGTTTCCGAATATAATCGTATTCTGTCGTATATAGGCATGATGATGCACGATCGTAATACTGGATCATGTAAAGCGCCAAAATACAAGAGTCAACGGTCGTATGAGGGGACGCAAACTATCGTTCGCAGACATATAGGAAGTCCGTAACCGTCGATTAAGGATAATATAGAAATACTGTTTTGCACCAAAAAATACGTTAACGTTACCAAACTCCTCTTCTCAGTAACTACGGAACTATGAATGGTTTCGTAGTAGTTCTATGAAATCTTTAGATACTCTACGAAACTGTCAACGTTTTCGTGCAAAAGATATCAGACCACTAAAAGTTCAGTACACAATGCACGGAATTTCTGCAAAGTTTCGTATTGAACTTCGAAACCTTCTTCGGATTTACGAAACTTAAAAAGGTTCAGTGTGAGGACTACGAAACTTTTTTCATTCCACGGAACTTAAAATGGTTCCGTAAACCAGTGCGAAACCTCCAAACTTTGGCAGAAAATCTATTTTTTTTAGAGTGTATGTTGGCTAATAATGATAAAAATTTTAATGTAGATACGTATTATTGCTCGGCAAACTATTATTCTTCTTATAATGTTATTATCGATGTAACAGAAGAAACTTGTTCAGATTCTCCCACTGCTGATCATACATTATCAGATATATTTCTCGAATATCCTGTAGAAGGATTTATAATTGATTCATGCGTAAAGATAGAAATTTAACAATAGTCGAAAATAGAAAGAAATATACGACAAGTTGCCAGTCTCGGTTTGGTTTTCCAGCTGTTACTGATAATTAAGGTGTTGCGGTGACAAAATTAAACAATCTTCTCTCATTTAAACATCGCTATGCAACATATTCTTAAAATAATAATAGCATCTCCCAAATGAACAAGTACATTTGTGAATGTTCACCAATAAGATCTTCAAAACACTAATACAACGTCCTCATCACCTTTAAAACAAATATATTTTCTTCAACTGTAACCGCCCCGTATCAATTAAAATAAGTGAAGAAAAAAACAACAAAATCGAAAACTTTCTTGTACAAAATTACTTTTGTTTTATTAAAGAAGCTCTGTTCAGTGGAAAAGCTCTACTTTAACGTTAAATTCTTTTTTAAATTCAAGTTTTAAGTTAAAGCATGATACTTTCATTTTGAAGTAAAATGCCACTTCAAGCAAGTAAACAATATTTCTACACCAGATCTTTATTATACATAGAAATCTCACGTGAAAACTCACTTGACCGGGCGAGTGCAGAAATGGTACAAATACTCCTGCTGGTGTTGAAGATAGTGCGTGATTCGTAACTTGGAAGTTGTACTGAACCAGTGTATAATGGTGAATGTAATAAAGATTCAATGTATGCTATATACAATAAATCTGAAATAGAACTGTTTTATGTTTTATGGTTTAAAATTTGATGAACAATGCTCTTTTCTCATTAGTGGGCAAAAGATGATATCAGTTCTTCATGAAACATGCCATTTGAAGGATGTGGCTATGGATATGGATATTTTTGTAGTTCTTGTTGAAGACAAGACGTACAAAAAGGCCCATACCCACGTTTGCACTCTTTTAGATGGAGACAACAAAATGTATCAAGGCGATAATAGCTATTCAGAACGAGCATTACGACTGTCGTAAACGATCATGTACGGTCGTATATGATGTGAATTACAATCGTATATAACCGTATTTCGTCGTGTCGTATACAACATGTTGCGCCCACTGTCACCAATAATACACTATCGTATACAATGCCTTTTGGCATCGTATTCCACATAAGCTACTCGTTTTTTCCTCTCACCACTCTCCAAATGATACAAAAACAAAAATTTGTCATGTCAAGTCTGGCTAAAAACCTCAGTTCTTTTTTTTTTTCATGTAGCTTCGACGATGTATCAAAAAACTATGGTTGTTTTACGAGTTATAGTACTCGACTAGAACTCGTAAAACAACCATAGTTTTTTGATAAATCATTGAAGCTACGTGAGAAGGAAATAATTGAGACCTCCACTCAGACTGGGCAACCCACTTGTTTCAATTAATACTTACTCTTCGATTTATCGTTGTAATTAGTCTAAAAATGAAAATAGAAATAAAAATTTTTCGAACTTAAGTCT